TTATACCGTAAGATATGATGTAGAGTGACCAGTGGCGGATCCAGAAAAAAATTTAGCACGAGTTAATACACAAAAAAAAATTATTTTTTTACTCAATTATTTTTTCTTTAGCATTTGGACTGGAAGGGACGGGTTGTAGCACTGGTCAGCCAGTCCCTATATCCACCCCTGGGAGTGACATTCTTATTTATATAATAAAAGGAATACCCTTTTTGTTATGACATGTTTTGTGCCATGCTTTATGTTATGCTTCCCAAGAGGGAAAATATTCAAATTAGTATTCAAATGGTAAGAAACATGACTTATGGGCAAATGTCGGCCCTGTTTGATTTCATCTTCCACTTTAGGCATATTTGATACACTCTTTTTTTCATAGCAATTCATTTTCTTGGTTTTGGTTCACACGTATCCAATTCCTTGTTTTTGATGAAAATGAATTCCCACCAATTTGGTGGGATTTGGTTTTCCCGGTTTTACTATTTTATTATTTTTTTTATTTTTATTTTTTTGAAATGAAAACAAATTCTACGGACAATTTTAAAAAAAAAATCCTTTAATGCACAATTTTCATGGAAAATAAAGTCAAATGAACGCCAAAAGATCCAAAATTTCAATATTTTTCAAGTTGAAAATTATACCAATCAAATACAATTAACTGACAATTCCTAAGAAAATAATTCTAGACAATTCAATTCACTGTAATTCATTTTCTTTCCACCCAAATTATATATTTGCAATAAAACGAATCCTAAGAGTTATGATTTGCACAAGTTGCATTGATAATTGATCTCTCTCTCCCTCCATTTTTTTTTTTTTGGTCGTTTCCTGGATTTTATTTATTCCTTTTATTTTCTTTTTTATTATTATTATTATTATTTAGGACTGGTACAAGTAAGTGAAAAGTTGTCAAGTGCGTGTTTGAACCACGTTATTTTGGAAAAATGTATTTTGAAATAGTAGATTGATGAAGAATGTGTGGATGAAAAAAAAAAAAATTATTGATATGATGAAAAATATTATTTTATTGAAAAATGTAAGGTTGAAAATGAGTAGAAAAATGAAAATGAAAATTTTAATATGACTCAAACAGGGGCCAAGTTGAATTTAGTCCATGTTTAACTACTGTTATTTCAATACTCTTTACTCTACATATTCATTTTCAACCACACATTCGCACAATAAAATATTCTATATGTAAATCCAAAATTTTGCCCAACTTTTAACTACACATTCTCTAAAGATTTACTATTCAAAACCTTTTTTTTTTTTACTAAATAATGATCATCAAACAAGGATTTAATGTAAATTAAAGTACAATCGAAAATCTAAGGCATTAATACGTTCGGTTCAACTAGATTGAATTATCACAATACTTCTATTTATGGATACTCCGAAAATTGATTGATGATGAACTGACCAATTATTATTAGAAGAGTCCCGTTACAGTTACGTTAAGTTTGACAGTTGTTTTTTTTTAACATTGTGTGAGGTGGCATACTTTTTTATTCTTGATTTCATGAACACTTAAAATAATTCATGGCACAAATTTTTACACCTCACACAATGTCAACCTTAATGTGCGAGGAAACGGACAGGGGGCTCAATTTGATTTTAGCTCGTGAATCATCCTCCACGAATAAACCTTGTGGAAGATTCCTTAATTTTTCTTGATATCTTATTATCATCAAATTTTATACCACTCAACACGGTATTTTTCATTTATACTTTCTATAAGATGGGAACACTCACCCTCTTACGATGTATTTTACATTCCACATATTCAAGACCTTAGCATTGAAATACTCTTTTGTGTAAACTTTATAATGAGTTAGGGCTATTATTACAAATTACTTTTTATTTTGAACATAAATACAGTAAGACAAAAAGTTAAAGTGCAAATCATGGATCTTAGTTGATGAGGCACTAGTAAATTGCTTTTCGACCCCTTTCGAATATATATCATCTATGAAAGGTGTAATTACAAAATTACTCCTCCATGCCATACGCAAAGAAAAAAAAATTAACACATAAAAAAAATTATTTTTTTACTTAATTATTTTTTCTTCAGCATTTGGACTAGAAGGGACGGGTTGTAGCACTGGCCAGCCCGTCCCTATATCCGCCCCTGAGAGTGACATTCTTATTTATATAATAAAAGGAATACCCTTTTTGTTATGACATGTTTTGTGCCATGCTTTATGTTGTGCTTCCCAAGAGGGAAAATATTCAAATTAGTATTCATATGGTAAGAAACATGACTTGTGGGCAAATGTCGGCCCTATTTGATCCACCCAAATTTTCCATGAAAAATGGAAAAGAAATTTCATCTTCCACTTTAGGCATGTTTGATGCACTCTTTTTTCTTAGCAATTCATTTTCTTGGTTTTGGTTCACACGTATCCAATTCATTGTTTTTGATGAAAATGAATTCCCATCAATTTGGTGGGATTTGGTTTTCCCGATTTTATTATTTTTTTTATTTTTATTTTTTTGAAATGAAAACAAATTCTACGAACAATTTTAAAAAAAAATTCCTTTAATGAACAATTTTCATGGAAAATAAAGTCAAATGAACACCAAAAGATCCAAAATTTCAATATTTTTCAAGTTAAAAATTATACCAATCAAATACAAATACAATTAATTGACAATTCCTAAGAAAACAATTCTAGACAATTCAATTCGCTGTAATTCATTTTCTTTCCACCCAAAATTCCACTCTTTCAATCAAATGGATCCTAAGATATCCTAGAGTGCTGTTTTTAATGGTAGTCTATTTGTACGTTGTAGGATGATCAAATAGCAGCCCGCATGTAATGCTTGTTTAATTCCATCCATTTTTTAAAACTTAATTATGTGATTTTGGTGACATAATAATTACAATCATGTTGCATGTATATCTTGTTTTATATTATTTTTGACATTGTGTCATGTGTCGACACATGATTGAACCATTCTTAAAAACAACAAACCTTCCCGTCCAACACATTTTGAATTTGCACACAATATACACCATGATGTAACCCATGGAATGTATACTTAGTATAATTCTAATAATTAAGGCCACGCAAAATTTACTCGCTCGTACATGAATGGAGTAATGCTATATAGCATCATTGAAAAGTAATTTAATTCATTAGACAATGAAACGCAAAGTTGAACGTGTTCGGTGTACTTCAATATTTCAAATTGAAATTGATAATATAATAGAGTTTTACAAGGATTTCGAAACTCAATAACAATTTACATGGAGTGAGAGGTAAAATAGCTGTGATGAAATGCAGTAAATTGTGTTAAGTCGAGTGACATGCTTTTGCAATTGTAATGCAGCCATGCTTGGAGTAGGTAATATGTCATCTTGACTCTATTATAGATAGTGGTGGCAATCGGCTAGGCCTATCTACGCATGATCTCGGCTCGTTCCAGCAGAGCGGAACTTGGCTGGTGCTCAAGAGTCAAGCTCAACTCGGCTCACGATCTCGTCAGCTTACCAACCAAGGCCACGAGTTTGTTCACTTTTTCTTTACAATTTTTACGAGCCCACAAACTCGTGAACTTGCTCACAAGTCGTTCGCGAGCTCGACGAGCTGAGCAAGGGCGAACCCCCAGGACGAGCCCGAGCCATCCATGGGCTAAGGTTGATGAGCTGAGTTGGGGAGCAGACGAGCTTACTCGGCCCTTTTGCCACCCCTAATTATCGACATTGATTTATTTTTCATGTTAGGCCCTGCAAGCCTTATTGCTTTTGACTTTTGACTTTGTCATTTTGGTTTATATTGATGTTCGTCCATCTTTATTATTCTTTCATTATCGAGTTGTCAATCATATTTATGTTGTTATTTTTGATTGTCGGGTCTTTTTTATTTGTTGATACTTTTCATTATGCACGTATATTAGAGAAATGTATTGTATAGCAGAAGCACGACTCGGATAACGCTGGCTAGGTGGTGGTGGTGGTGGTGGAGTCCACTAGAAGACCCAAGGAGAGCAACTTGGTTACAATTAATGGCATTTGGTGGGGTTTAATATTACGTGAACAAAACCCCAATAATAATAATAATAATTAGCATTTGTGTATTGGGATGAGTTTGTAGCAAAAGAAAGGATCACAACAGAGAAAAAAGTACAGCCCTTATTGTGGTTGATAAAGACCGATCTTGCTATATGTACATTAAGAATTATATATTGGATTACATAATGACATATGATACTCTACCATTTGTCAGTTTAAAAAACACAATCAATTTTTTCATACAATCTTTTTTCTCCACATCATATTATGTAATCTCTTATGTATAATTTTGATATACAAATAACAAAATTCAATAAAGACATGGACCCATATGTGAAAGCAAATTTTTTATCCTTAAAATGTCGAGTATGCATTTTATCTATAGAAAACTAAGATTTTATCTCAAGAAAATTGAGAATCGGCGCGTTATTATTTGGAAACGTTCAATGTATATTAGGATTTATGTACTTACATTGGTTATCCATTACCACAAGTTCTTTTGTGCGAGTTTGAAAGCGATGTTAAGGGATAAAACTCGCACAAAATAAGCATAAAAATAAATTATCAACATATAAAGGCATCTCCAATCCAACTTCAAAATGACGTGAAATGCTAATTCAGAATGAAAAAGATGCTTCAACCGGACTTCAATTTTTTACACCAAATTAGATTGTAATTTCATTTTATACTACAACAAAATTAATGTATTATATCCTTTTTTTTATAACTATTTATTACTTAGTGATTCAGATTTATTTATATTCATTTTAATTTGATCATTATTTTTGTTAAATATTTATAATAAATTGTAATCAAGTAATAAATAATAACTACGGAAGATATTAAAATAAACGACTCATAAAAATTCAAAATTTAAAAATTTGATAATTTCAAATTACAAGGAAATTAAACATGGCGATTTTGTCCAATATCACATATCAATCAAAAATCTGCTATTATCTCATTTACGACTTACAAGCACAATATCATGAACACTGTTATCGCTTCCAACACCACCAAAGAAGTGCTCATCGACCTCTCTTCCCTTATCAAAGTCTACAAAGATGGAATAGTGGAGAGGCTCATGGGCACACCCAATATCCCGCCGTCGCCGGAAGACCCAACCACCGGTGTAGCCTCCAAAGACAGTCATTTGCCCGGAGGTCAAAGCCAGACTATACCTTCCAAAGCTGACCGATCCCAACCAGAAACTCCCCATTTTAATATACTATCACGGGGGTGGATTTGTCATTGATTCCCCCTACTGTTTGGTCTATCACTGTTTCACCGACGTTTTAGCCGCCGAAGCAAAAGCTTTGATCATTTCTGTTCAATACGGGCTTGCTCCTGAACACCTTCTACCTATAGCCTATGAAGATTCTTGGACTGCCCTTCAATGGGTGGCATCTTGTGTTATTGCAAATACCAGTATTGAAAAGTGTTAGAAAATATGGGTCATGAGTCTCCAACGTGGATTGACCCCAATGAACAAGTTATTAAAGTAAATTGGAGGGAGTTGTTTGAATAAAATTCAAATTTACAATTTCACTCAACTTCCACTAACTTCTAAGTTTTTACATAACTATCATAACTTTGTCTTGCACTTAATAGAGAGGGAAAAGATGACAATAAAATGGTGAAAATTCTTATGAAAAATATTACCAAAATTGAAAGGCGCCTAGAACCACTACTTTGGCATGAAAACTCATAGAAATTGGCACTTAGGTTGTGGTTAATAATCCACTTCCTTTATGATCGGGATTGAGACCATTGGAGTGCAAGAAAATTGTAGATTTGAAATTTTAGAAAGCGATGTGATTCAACGATTCAAAAGATTTTGGAATTCATCATTTCAAGTAAGCATCTTAACCCAAAATTCATGTTAAAGTCTGCGGTAAATTACTTCACTGGTATCAGAGTCATAAGGTTGAATTCCTTGCTGTTATACATGCTTAAATATGCCATTACATGATACAATTGGGTTATGAATTTTATATGTGAAGTTTTGAAATCTTATGTGGTCTTTAATGACATGGTTTTGATAATTTACTGATTTATATACTTTAATAATTATGAAATAAAATTAGTATTGTTAGAAATGTATTTTAATAATCTTTGCAATCATATAAAGAATTTAAATTTTGGATATAAAACAAAGAAGTTACCAGTTTTTGAAGTTTGGATGTAAATCTGAATTTTTACATAAAGATCGGTAAAATTTGAAATTTCATCACATGATAACTTTTTCTACATTGTGTTTCATACTTCCCATTTGGTATGGTTGGGTATATCTTCTCGATACCTTTCTAACGATATAAAGATCATTAATATTGGCCATGAAATGAAGAAGTTATGGCCTCCCGAAATTTAGATATAAATCTGATTTTTTTGCAAGAAAATTAGTAAAATTCAAAATTTTATCACATGATAACTTCTTTTACACTATGTTTCATGCTTCTCATTTGGTATGGTTGGATAGATCTTTTCAAGACATTTTCAATGATATAAAGATCATTAATTTTGGCCTTAAAATGAAGAAGTTATGATTTCTCGAAGTTTAGTTGAAAATCTGAAAATTTTGCATTTATTTTTTTGCCATGTTGACTCTTGGGCAAATCTGTTAATGTCCCAAACGTGGTCTTAAACATTGATTTTGTAAAATCTGACTACACAAATGAACTTAGAACGTTGAAATTAGATGGGATAACCAATTGAAAGGTTTTTTTTGGAGAACGGCGTGGTTAGCGCCCCATTTTTTTTTTATTAATTTAAGAAAATTATTACAGATTGGTCCTGTAAGGGAGGGCGCGTGAGGAACTCGATTTTAATTCCAAAAATTGTAGATTGGTCCCTGAATTATTCTTGATTTTTTCAGTATAAGTAAATTAATTTTTGGATAGTTAAAAATATTTTTTGAACTTGATTAAATTCTGATTTTTGTTTTAAACTAAGAATATTATTATATGGTATTTGCTAGTGGGAGCTATTTTTTGAACTTCTCATTTTTTTTTTTTGGAAAATGAAAAATACTCTAATAGTATTTAAAATACCATGTTTTAATATATGTTCATGAGATGTGTGCTTTTTTTATTAGGTTGTGTGATCCATTATACTTTATTTCCATATTTTGTGTTTGATTAGATATTATTGGATCTATGCACACTTATAGCATCTTTAGAGGGAATGCTAGAAAAGCAGAGGCTATAGAACTTATTGAAAAGTTATGTACTTACTGAAATTAATAAATGGATCTGGAGCATAACTTAATAGGACCCGTAAATATTTTTAGAACAACTTTTTGTGATAAGTAGAATATTAGAATTTTGATATCACTTCTCATTTGTTGGGATTGTGTTGCAACAAAAATAAAAGTGATGTTGAGAGTCTGTATAATAAAACTTAAATAATGTGAGTTTTAGTCTTCGATTATAATTAGAATTATTTTCTGGAAGAATTAATTTGTGATATCATAGTATATGTCATAATCAGATAAATTTGTATGTTTATACTTTTATTGCACATTATGAAATTATCATATTCAATTACATGATATCTATTAATTTGTGAGTTGTTATGAATGCTGAGGTCAGTAGAATAATGAGATTTTTACTTAGACATATTGATTGTCAGTTGAGTGATAATTCGATGATTGAAAGATTTAGAGAAAATCTTACTTAGAACTATTTGATTCACCAACTGATTGAGAGTTCTCAAACTGGAAAAATTAATGTAATTCTCGCTTATAACTCATGAAATTTAAAGTTTTAAAATTAAGTCTATGATAGTGAAATAATAGTATTGCGGATTGGGAACATAGTAAACTTTCAAATCCGTGTCTAACATTGAACTATCGTATACGTTAATTTTCATTGCTGTAAAATGGTATATGTGCATAAATGGGCATTGATTGAGAATAAAATTTCTCTAAAATCCAATAGATCATGGAATCAATATCTACAGTTGTTGACCTTAATAAGGTGACAAGCTAAATGTAATAACATTTGGTATAATAAGTTTTTCAGTTAGAAAAGCATGATGTTTTATATAGCATCAACCACGTAATTGAAAACCTAATGTGGGTCAGACTAATCTAGAGAATAAAGATCAAGAACTTTGTCAAGCACGAAAAAAGTAGATTATAGTACTTGAACATTTGCATTGTTAAGTTTTGTTATAGAGGATCTTTTTCTCAAATGTGACTGACTAAGATGGTTGACACAGTGTTAACAATTTTTTTGTTGGTCACAACTTTTTTTTTTTGTGTGAGTATTAAGTTCAAACTAGTCTCATTTCAATGGATGGAAACTTTAAAGGTCAATGTGACTTACGAATTGAAGTGTCAATTTCCTCTATTGACACTACCCACAGTGTGAGTTAAAAGACATGCAATTTGATGTTGCTAAATCTCGAGGACATGCTTGTGTAGTAATGTTATAGTTCAAAAAAAATTTCGGATTTAAATGAACTAAAACAAATACGGATAAGAGGAGACTGAAAAATGGACCAAGAAGAATGTATTCGATAAAAATATGTGAAAGTGGTTTTGGTAGAGAACCAATATTATAAAGGTTCAAGTATTTTCAACCACACGGTTTGAATCTTTTAGCTTGGAAGTAGTTATGCTAAAGGATATAACACTTGAATATGTTTCTTCTGGTGTTGTTTACGTATCAATATTATACATATTGGACCTTATCTTGTGTGGATAATGAATTCAAGGGTTATAAACTTACTTTGTATGAGATCAAGAAGTGTCTTCAGTATATTGTCGAGTCTTTGACTTGATACATTGATATATACAAATAATGAAGATGGAATAGAGGTTTATATGATTGATACTGGAGTTTAGTGTTGCAAAATGGAGAAACCGACCTCCTATTTGATATTAAGATAGTATCAAAGACTCCACTAAATTTGATTTCAGTTTTTATTCTTCTAAAAGTGGTCTATTATCTGAACTTATACATGGTAGTTCTGTTCATACTCACAGTGGTGATATTTAATTATGATTCTGGATATTTGTGCAATGGTTTGAGGTTTTGAGTTGAGAAAACCATTCAAAGCTGTAAGAGCTAAACTTCCATTGAGTAAATCCATTCAAATTTCTTGAGAAATAGAGATGGATTTTCATAATTTCATTATGTTCATAGATGAATTAACTCATTTCAGTTGTGACTCTGATTTTCATAAGTTGAGAATATTATTGAATGTGATGAGACTTTGAGAATTGTTTAAGAACGTGAATCTCTATTACGAGAGATCTATGATTTAGGTAATGAAAGAGAAATTCTTATTGGATTGATTATTTCTTGATCACCAATAATTAAATGGTTTATTGGGAAGAAAAAATAGAATATTATTGAATGTGATGAAACTTGAGATAATACGGTCCAATTTATATATCTTCTTTTGGGAAGAGTATTGGTTAACTAAAATGTGTCATTTAATGGATTTTTCTTAATGTTAGTACCTTCAAAATAAATAAGCTTTGGACACATAGATAACCAAATATGGGTTGTCTTAGACTTATAATCGATTATGTAAGTTCTTGATAATGAGTTTGAGAACACGTGTCTATTAAGAACGAGATGAATCTCTGAGATACACATAACACTCCAAAAAGGTACTTAAATGAGATTTTGGATGGATATTTGATCACAAGATGTGACATTTGATATTTTTTTTTTCCAAATATGGGAGAAAATTTTGGAGAATATTATTGAAATTGATATTATGTGTATTGATGAATCAATTTTGAATAAATAAGAGTTTGGTTTAAACTTCTAATTCAAGTGAGAGTAATCTGTTTGCGAATGTGAGCTATCTATCTGAATGTGAGCTATCTAAGAACTATCCAATTTCAATTATTCTTGGTTATGACTGAGAGTTAAGAGCTATTTAATTTCAATCATTATTGATTCAGAAATCAAGTGGAGAAATTTGAAAAAAAGTGATAGACAATATATATGGAGTATAGAATTTCAACCTAATTTGAGATGTGATAGACGTTCTAATTTGACATTTTATTTATTGTGAACATTGTGGTTCTTAAAAACTAAGTGGAAGACTAATGAATTTATGATAAATAAAACTCATTTTTAAAAAAGAAATGTTATACTCAATATGAGTATATTGAGTCAGATAAATTTTTTTCTTAACAGTGAGATTCATTTCTATACGTTGATGACAACCATGATAGCGTGTTTAAATTTAGATTACACCAAATAGACTTATAAACTGTATTTTTTCTCAATTGAGAATTAATTAAAGAGATCTACATGAATCGATTTGTAGGTTTTATGTTAAATGCTTCTATAGTATTATGGTAACTTCTTAGTTATACTTGTAGCCTAATACAGTCATTTTGACACTGGCACTTGAGTTTTAATAGGGTATAAACCACATACAAAATTTCATCATGTGGATGAAGTTTACTGTATTTATG